GAAACTACGGAGCGGAACACCTGGACACCCTGGATTTTCACATCCAGTCCTTAGATACAAGAAACTACGGAGCGGAACACCTGGACACCTGGACATCCTGGACTTCCACATCCAGTACCTAAATACAAGATACTGCGGAGCGGAACACCTGAACACCCTGAACTTCCACATCCGACACCTAGATACAGAAAACTACGAAGCGGAAAACCTGGACAAACTGCCACCTACAATACGATGAACTATGCTGAAGCACACATATACATACACCCATATACGCGCGCTCCACATGAATACTATTAAAAACTGAATAATTCTATACTGTTGTGAAAAAGGACTGGAAATTCGGTATGAACGGTAGCTTTACGTATAAAGTGTATTTGATTGTGTTGTGTATTCGTAAATTAGTAACACCATTCGGAGTATGAATAGGTAAAGAAGGCAAAGCAGTCAGCGCCATCTGTCGTGTAAAAAATGCGATGGACGTGCGAAGACGACGACGACGATGACGACACGACGATGACGACGACGACGACGACGACGGACCTGAAATAAAATCATCTCGCTCGCCATGTGAATACGTCCTGATCCTGTACACTAATCGTATTGAATTTGGTGGCAATCAATTCAGAACCCTTAATTCCTAGAGTGAATGTATCAATACATTTTTCTGATATACAGTCGTTCATAAGATATTTGAATCGAAACATAGGTACAAGAGATGCTTCGAGTAAAGAATCTCGGTGGGCCGTGCCCCATACGGCGGGTTGTCTGTACTTGGTAGGACACAGTGTTTTTGTAAGAAACGTTATATATTGTGACGTGGTAGATTTTACCCCGTCCGGTCCTCGGCGTGAACTGTAGTGGTACGCGGGAAAACGCAAATTAGAGAAGAATCCAGGCAAGATGCCACCACCTCAAGGGCTAACGAAGTTGCGAATTGGTTGATTTCTGATTCTGTTGTTTTGATTTTTACTATGTCCCATGCCGCGAATATTGTATTCGCGGTCTTACCGAATCTCGAGAAGAACCAGCGAGGGATCATCAGCGTGGGAGGAGCGAGGACGAAAGGCTGAGTGACGTCAGAGCGCCGGCAGAGCCCGAGCTGCGCGCGCTGTAGCTCACCGTACCAATCACCTCGCGACTTGGATCAACTCTACGTACGCTATCACCCGAGCTAAATGAACAGGTCTACGCGTACCGAGTAACTAGCAGGGAGCTATTACTCATTCCGCGTGACATAGACCTACGAACAACGGAGCACCTGTAACGCACCACAACTCATGACGGACGCCTACCGCTATCGACGAACGGAACGGAGACTCGCAAACTGGGAATCTGGGGACGCCTGGTGAACCGTTGGGAATTCCTATGGGACGACGGAGCCCATTGCGGGACAGCCAGTAATCGCTGTTCCCGAATCGTATGAATTGTCGCGAAGACGTATTTGAATTGTAGCGCGTGGTGTCATATCGGAGATTTCGGATTGGGGCCGTAGGACCAATCAGCGGTGGTTGCGAATACGGGAGAGGATGATAGTCTCCGGTGCTGCCAATTACGATCGAAAGGGAAGGCAACTTCCTTCCTCTTGCCTGGACTGTCCACAACACGAGTCGTGTTTTTGGGAATCGTTGGTTTTCGGGGTTCAAGTCTGTGGAGAATCCGGACTTCGTCCGAGACCGCGTACACGGGCTAAATTCTCCAGATCGAAGATACGTAGAGATTTCGGTAAGCGATTTGTTAATTTTTGTGAGCGACGAAATCTCGTAACACCCCGCGTTTTGTACATTTTGACTAGTGCCTGTAGGCACGTGGAAAATATTCCCACTTGTAGAATCGCGTTCGTTTGGAGTACGAGATTCTGCCGACAAGCACCATATTCGCGTAAATATGTTGCCCATTGTGGACATATTTATCGCGCGTTGTTGTAAATCTAAGTGCGTATGACTGTGTTAATGATTATATCTCTCAGCAATTTTGAGTGTTAGATCTCCAAATTTTATTGTATCGCGTTCGGGAGGGACGTGTTGCCGAGAGACACGAAATAGTCCTTGAGGTCGTGTTGTCGAAGTATCGCGATTAGATCGCGTTATAGTTTTGAATCGACTCATGTATTGAGAATTGTATGTAATTGTACCGATAGTGAATTGTCCGGAAGAAGTCGAAATGTCGAAATGTCGAATTGTAGCGAATCGTATGAAAGTATTTATGGAAGTTGAAAATGTCGAAATGTCGAATTGTCTCGAATTGTCCGAAAGTATTTATTGACGGTTGAAAGTGTCGAATTTTATCGGATTGTACGACTGTATTTTATCGATTGTTATAATTAGACTGCGCGGAATAGATCGCGAACTTTGTTCGTAGAAATTCGGATTAGGACATAAGCAAAAATTCATATTGTCATTCGTGGTTGTTTTAGTCGCGATCTTATTGGGTCCATTATTTTTTTTTTAAATTGTTAAATTTGGATTTTGTTGTATCCGCGTGGTCGAGTTCTAAATGGGCGCACGAAAGAAATACCGATTTTGTTTTTACTCATCGCGATTCCCCGCTGACGTCACAACTGATTGGCGCTCAGCGTGGGGCTCGTAGGAGCTGGAGCACGAAATAAAAAATCGATTTTGTTATTGTTGACCCAAAAAGCCGGAGTATTCATTTTGTTGAAGTTGTCCTTACTCTTGAAGATTTCCCACGCCTCCGCGGTGCTAAGTTAGCGAATAGAGGCCCGAACGACCGAATAAAACCGAATTATACGTGGTTCCCGTTTTGGAACCTGGCGCCCAACAATACCATAGGTATTATTTCGAATTGTATGTGTTAGCCCTGGGTTGCCTGGAACGCGAAGGAATCGCGTAAGTTGTGCGCCGGTCAGTCTCTCATCTCCCGACGAGCCTCGATCGCGAATTGTACGTCACAATATATATTATAAAGCTGTCTGGTGTGATACATTTTCGATGATTACCCTGAACCCTGTATAGATGAATACGCTTAATGTTTTATTCCCTCCCGCCCGTTGCTATTATTGACAAGATATGAGGAGATGGAGGTGAAGGAAACAAAAAAAGAAAAATAGGTATTTTAAATATATATTGTATATTGCAAGAAACAGTAGCTGTACAATTTTATTAAGAGAATAAACCCTTAAGCATGACCATTCTGGGCAGCCGTAGCGCTCTGCACGAAGGAGAGGTACTGGTGGTTATACAGGGAGAGTAACTCCACTAATAACTGATAAAGAGCCGGCGACCGCAGGCCTTTCTTTTCCAAAACCAGCCGAAGATCGGCCAATATGTTGTCTCTGGAGGCGTCATCCCCGCGGCGATCCAGCTCCGCAATCAGCGTGTCTTTGCAGCTGTTAGCGCTGTCGGTGATCTCGCATAGTCTGTTTATTTGGACAGTTGGAGATTGAGGTACGACACCCTCTTCATTACGACCACAGGTGGGTACGCTCTAGCTCTTTTAATGTCCGAATCGTCGTTACTCGTAGATATCGGCACCGATGGTTTGAAAATAATGGCCCGCTCGCCATATGAGTACGTGAATATTATTTCGTGAGCAGGCGTGGAAATAGGTGTGTTAAATTCCTCAGGTACTCCTTGATGTTGTCCTCGGCGACAAAAAACCTGTCGATGACGGGGAAGTGTTCGGTGTTGTGAGCCCAAATACTGGGTTCACGGATTTGACTGCCGGAAAGGGTTTTCGGGAGTCAGGTACTTAGGGATTCGTTGCCTGAGTAAAAAGTTGGAACTTAACTCTCGATAACAAGTAAAAGATTTATTTGAAACAAAACAAGTTACGTTAGAATACATTATTGGAATAAACCGTAAACGTGGTGAGTACGAAATCACGAGGCTAGAGGTTAGTACTTCGACTAAGTTACCGTAGTAACGCTTCACTCGTAGCTCTCTACTTCGTCTGACGAGCCGACAGGCCGTCCGCTTTTTATAATCTTAATTATGGAATTTTTTAGAGATACAATAACCAAGGATTGTTTCTATCTCTTTTCCTTTTTGATTGTGGATCGAGTGTGGTTTCCTTAACGTATTCTAATTTGGCATCTATTTCCTGAAGACGAGCCTTAGAAGAAGTGCTGAAAGCCTTGCATATTCTTTGCAATTCTAGAGAGGTTGTTCCACACATCTTTTTAGTTTTCGATAGGTAATGCTTGATGGTAGCCTCTCTTTCAAATATGGGGCTTAGGTCAGTGTGAATGACCAACTTCCAAGTATCCTTATAGTTCACGAGGTTTCCCATTTTTTCGAAGTATATCCCTGGTGTAGTATCGAATTCTCTTATCGTCAATTGCTGAGCTGGTGCGTTTTGGATCTGGGTCGTCCCGAACCATAGAGCGGTGACCCTGCAACATGTGCAGTTTGGCGTTGTACTAGAGGTAAGTAGACAATTGCCATTCAGCTCTTGTGACGTATAAGTTTTCGTGGCTATATAAAGCATGATTGGCTGTTGATGCTCATTAAGCATCAAACCATGTGTCCGAACAATTCTTCCATTTCGAGACTGTCGGCGGAGGCTCCTTTCTCTACTGGAGTGAGGATCTTATCTGAGGCGGAGAGGACCGCCGACCTTTTAAGTAGGGCCGAGGTAGCTCTCCGAAATAGGATCGAGAGGGCGCTAACCATTTCGTTAGCCGGAGTGAGTATTTAGACTTACATTTTTTTTTATTGAATTTTGCTTGTCTTTTGCATTAATTCATTGTTTGTTTCCATTTTTCTTTTAGCTCGACTTCATCAACATTCGCGAAATGCGAATGAGAAGGCGAGTCCGGGCGGATCTCCGTTCCTTGGTGGACTGGCACTGGGGAGAGGGAAGTGTCACGGAGCCCGACCTTAATTCATTGTTTGTTTCCATTT